CTGGTCAGTGATGACCTGTGACTCTCTGAGGAAGGATTCTTGACTGAATGAAGTTTCCCCTTATGAGTTTTCTGATGTGTAACTAGTTGTGCTTTCCAAATAAAGGCCTCCCCACATTCACTGCATTTAAAGGGTTTATCTCCTGTGTGAATTCTTTGATGTTTAATGAGGCTTGATTTCCGGGAATAGGGTTTTCCACATTCACTGCACAAAAAGGGAGTCTTTCCTGTGTGAAATCTCTGATGTGCAATGAGGTATGCCTTCTGGTTGAAGCCTTTCCCACATTCATTGCATACATAAGGTTTCTCACTTGTATGAATCCTCAGATGTACCATGAGATGTCCCTTCTGGATGAAGGTTTTTCCACATTCATTGCATAAAAAAGGTTTCTCACCTGTATGAATCCTCATATGTACCATGAGACTTCCCTTCTGGCTGAAGCCTTTTCCACATTCACTGCACACGAATGATTTCTCCCCTGTATGTATTTTCTGATGTACACTGAGCTGTGATTTCTTGATGAAGGCTTTTCCACATTCAGTGCATTCAAGAGGTTTCCCTCCTGTATGTGTTTTCAGGTGTTCAGTGAGCCAAGACTTCTTGATGAAGGGTTTCCGACATTCAGTGCATACGTGAATCTTCACTATTTTTTGAGACTTCTTATGTTTGATGACTCCATACTGAGTGCTAGGTTTTTGGCTTTCAGAAAATTGAATTTCATGCTTAACATGGAGAAAGGATTTCCCATCTCCCATAAGCTCAACAGGATTATTTATTTCATAGCTTCTGCTCTGGTTAAGTAAAGTTAAATCTGATTTTATACTTTTTCCATGGGAGTCAAACATACCATGACTTTGCCTTAACACAGAGTGACTTCTATCCTGATGAACAAAATCTTTAAAGGTGTTATGTTTGGGCCACTGTACAAGGCTATTCTCCGTACTTCCTTTTTGTAGGTGTTCTGGTAGAAGATCATCAACTTTCCACATATCTAGGAAAGAAAACAATGGATCCTCCCATCACTTTGATTTGGAATAAAGACATTTAAAAAAAAAAA